CCAGCACACAGTAATATCAAAATTCATTTATGTACATATTTTTAAAAAGATCCAAGAAGCTATTTTTAAGAATAATGCTCCGTAGGCTACCTTTCCAGCTGTGCAAAACTCCAACAAAACAGATGGCGCTCAAGTATCTTTGACTGGGTCAGCAAAATGCTTTCTAACATCTGCAAAAATTCAACCAAACTAGACTGACTTTGACGGAATTTCAGAGCAACAAATACAGATTTTGTGAGCCTGGATAAAAACTGGACAAAACATCTTCTTCCATAGATTTCATACAAAAACAAGAACAACTTTTCGGTTTCTGTGGGGTTTTTTTTGTTTTTATTTTTGTTTAGATTTTTAGTTTGAACTTGAAATAAAGTAAAATTCATGATATGTGAAGTAGGGATGTGAAAGTGTAACTATATACACACAGGCTCCAGGTATGTCCAGGGAGCAAGTTTAAAAGCCAGCTCCAGGTGTGCACCGGCTCCTAGGGAGCCAGCCACATCACCCCCCATTCTGCTGTCTCTGTATCATTCACAAAACAGCTGTGAATATAACCCATCATTAGTTATGCCACACTGTCCCTCCCCATTCCTATAATCTCTTTGGCTTGGAAAAGGAAATTGTCGGGGTCTTAAAACTATGTAAAGGCATGTTATGAGTTCCATCACAGCTAGCAGTAGTTAACAACTCAGAGCCTGAAGACTTCTATGTGACACTAGAAGACAGACATCTGTCAGGGATGGTGTAGGTGGAGCTTGGTCCTGCCTTGAGGGCGGGGGGCTGGACTCGATGACCTCTCGAGGTCCCTTCCAGTCCTATTATTCTATGATTCTATGATTCTATGACTAATACACCAGGCTGTGGGATTTTTGCCCCTTATCACCAATGTTTATTCATGCTGTACATTGATTAAATACCAGAGAAAATAATCTTCGTGCAGGCTGAAAGAAAAGCAGCGCATCTCATATTATCAGTGCAACAATTTTTAGTGGAACCTCCAGCTTTTTCCTTTCTTTAGAAGTTTGATGTGTGTACTCTACAGG